GGGGGGGGCTACCCCCCCCCCCCCGCCCGGTACGCCTATGGCGACAATCATTGCACATCAATATTATTACATGAAAATTAACTTACAGTTAAAGCACGACAACAAGACCACATGTAAAAATCTCGCAGCTTGTCAACGAGAGGACTGTTTGCCCCGCATGTTCCCATGCCGTTGTTGACAAGTCTGGAACAAATTGTTATCTGATCTTGTAGCAAGTCTGCAGACAAGCAGTCAACAAGTTGTGTTCGCACTGCTTGTCCCAAGTTGTCAACAAGTTTGGAACAAGCTGTTGACAAGTCGTAACAAGCTTGTTGATATTATCAGACTTGTTGCAAGGTTGTTCCAACAAGTCTGATACAGTCATGATATAACAATATTGTTACAACCTTGTATCATCAACCTTGTAACATTCTTGTTATATCATGACTGTATTATTCAGACTTGTTAGAACAACCTTGGAACAAGTCTGATAATGCCATCAAACTTGTTACAAGTTGTTAACAGCTTGCTCCAAACTTGTTACAACAACTAGGAACAAGCAGTGCGAACACAACTTGTCGACAGCTTGTGAACAGATTTGTAACAACTTGTTTGCACATCTGTACAGTAGCTGTAACAATGCTTGTGCGTTACAAACAGGTTGGTTATACACGCCTCATAAAAGTCGAAGGTTAGTAAATCCCCCAGTTACTTCTCACAATGCATTGCGTTCCTATTTAATGAATGAACTGTGTATCATGTATACTGTCCGAGATCATGAGTACAAATGTTAGATTTCTGAGCCACGCCTTGCCACTGTACAATGAAATGTAATGAACTAAACTTGTGAATAATTAATACCTACCTTTATTTCGCTCTTGAGCTTAGCAATTCCCCTACTCATCAAACTCTCAGCGTCAGGTATCGGAGACGTACACAGATAATGCGGGACGTCCTCTGACTCGCAAGGTTCAACAAAGAATGCCTCGCCACCCTCTCCTAGCTTCATGTGAAGATCAACCGGCTCATCATTGATACTGATGTCAACCTTGGAACATTCAAAATTCATACTCAATCAGGGGTGGATCTAGCCTCATCTGTAAGAAGGGGTGCAGCTTTTCCATGGGGTGGTTCATGAGGGAGCCTTACTGCCCACTCTGCTCTGCAACGCTACTATCCCAACATTACAATTATTTGAGATGGCCAAATCTGCATGTTCACCGTTCTGTTACATTAAATTTACATCATCTTTTGTTTATATCGGCTTTTTATCATATATTAATGACTGGACGGTTTCTGTAGCAGTATAGTAAATGTGCTTGTTAAAGTACAGTACATTTGAAAATATGGCTGTATAACAACCTCGACATGTTTACATATTTAACAATGATATTTAACTAATAAAGCATTCTGAGTATTTTCTTGTGAGCTCACAAATCAATTAAATCGTTTCAAGAAATCAACATGCGCTAACAGTATAAAATATAATACAAAACATAATCCGAAGATAAGCATCTTGAAACCCAAAATTATGAGTCAAACAAGAAAGTGAGTTTCTTGTTTGAATCATATTTTGGGTTTCAAGATGCTTATCTTCGGATTATGTTTTGTATTATATTTTTTGAAATTGTCGGCTGGTATTGGTTTTTGGTCTAACAGTACAAGTACCACCAATCGAAAATATTTGTATGGCAAGGCAGATTGTTTTAGAGTGGTGCTGCACTTCTCTTGGGGGTGTTAGAGGGTCTTAATGGGGGTCTATGGGTGTCAGTTGTCAGCTAAAATTTAAGCAATTTGTCAGTTGTCAGTACAATATATTGCAAGCTGTCAGTAGTCAGTTACTGAAAAATGCTGACTCATCATTTTTTCCATCATTTCTCAGTTGTCAGTTAGGATATTTTGTCAGTTGTCAGTCAAAAATTTAGGCAAATGTCAGTAGTCAGTTAACCCCATTCAGACCCTCGTGTTAGACACCAGACGATTTCGGATTTTCCTCATCAAGGGCAGAGCTCAACGGCCAACGGGTTAATCTTGTGGTTTCTGGCCATGGGCGTACCGGAAGGAAAAAATTAGGGGGGCGGAAAGAAAATTGCCCGACCTTTCGGGATTCTGCCCGACTAGTACCCAAAAATTTTTTCCGGAAAATAACGCAGTCTTGCAAAATTTGCAATTTTCAGTCATTTTGTATTACAAACGGGAAATTGATGCCCCAATACCCGATTGGGCTGCCAATTTCCCATGTGTAATACAAAATGACTGAAAACGGTAAACTTCGCAAGGCTATATTATCCGCATTTTACAACATTTCGCAACAAAACTTTGGAATATTACTAATTTTGTGATGCTCTTTCAAGCTGCGCTGAAATTTTTGTCTAGACTTTCCATTGGCCATACAAATACTTGAAACGTATCTTTTGGTATGAGTTTTATCATAACTATGGTTTTATCCGCCTCTCATGAAAGCTATATATACCAAATAGCTGACCTTCACTGCACAACCAAGGTCAACTACAGTTATTCACCTGTATTAACTCAACAGGTTAGCAGAAAATAACAAAGTAATTCAGCTGGGAATAATTCATATAACCAAAATATACCCAGCGAGATATTCATTGATAGTCAAATTTAGTCATAGTATCATTTTAATACTTGCTGAGACAGCTAAAATTAAAATGATGAAATTATAATTGCGAGAAAAACAAGTGCGATATTTCATAGTAAAACCCTAACATCAATAATAATAAGGCCATTTAATAAACCCTATAAAATATACGGTAAACGTTCATAATTTTGCAATAACTATTTCAAATTATATTGCACATATATTTACAAGCATAGAAAAATTAAATATATATATTTAATCAACAACAAAAAATAAAATCAACTCACGACTTTTTCCCGGCTGCGAAGCACACCGATTTTCCCGAAACGTACATGAAATGGCGATCCGACAAACGAGCCATCGGCTTGCCGAACGACTATAATGTCAATAGCACCAGTCAATGTTGCCGAGTTTATTTCGCTGTAATAGCCTTTAATTCCGTCGACTAAACGACCGAAATAATTCATATTTTTCGACCAAATTTCATACTACGAAAGCCTAGAGGTCGAGGCATCAATACTGAAAGTTTCAAGGATATTGGTAGACCCGTTTGTTTTTAAAACGAAATTCAATTCAGGCGAACTGCATTTCGCCGAATGCGTCTTGTCGCCATGTTTTCCAACATTTAAATACCGGTTAACAGGAAACACGTGATCAGAACGTGAGTGGGTGTGGCCCACTGAGCTATAAATATGACATAAATGTTGTATTACGTAATTGTATACATAATAGATTGTATTTCGGTGAATTCCCGAGCAAATATCTATGATATAATTTTTATATTACCAATTGTGATGTCATTTTTATATCAAGTCATATTACAAATCACGTGCTATCATTTCTCGAAACCAGTTTTGTTTTTACACACTTTTTAAGCCCCGGGCAAACTAGGAAACATTGTTAGTCGCTGGGGCACAGCAGGGTCTTAGCTAGAAGGCCGTGTTGGCCGTGTTATCACGGCCAAAAATGGAAAAACACGGCTAGATAAAATGAACGCGTCTTCACTATTTATATAAGGTGCTTTATATATGGTGCTACTTACAACAGACAGAATTTCTTTCTATTTACGTCATAAGAAAGTTTGTAAAATCTATTGTTGTTGTTGAAATTGGCAAAAGTGATCCGTGATGTTTTAATGTTTTGATGGATAATGGGAACCGTGTGTTTAAAGTGGTTTTAAGTTTTAAATACCCCCAACTGGCTTCAAGAGTTGCTGAAATAACTTAATGTTTTAATGACAGTGCGCAATACGAGTATATGCTCGCCTTGTATTTGGTTGCAAAGCATAGAACCACCACAGGCATTGTCCGGTGTTGTAGAACCGTGAATTTGGATATGCAAGGTAATTGACATGTGCACACCCTGGTTATTTAGAAACACGCCCAAGATCTAAAATCCTAGCTAAGACCCTGGGCACAGCCCGCAGCGACTCTAGGTTTCGGCTTCGATTTGTGTCGGATCTTGGATCGTTAGCTACAAAATGAACGTTACGTCATTAATAAATAATAAAAATTACGTCATTACTATTCGTCGCTGGATTCAAGATGGCCGCTTTCTTCGGAGCGAATTTAGTTATTTAGTATCGACAATTTCATCGATTTTGTACATATTTTTTTTATTTTTCCGATGAAACTTTAAAGTTTCCCGATGAACCAGACTTTATAAAGCGAAAGTCATTTTATGTGAGTAACTTGGATCGCTACAAGCTTGAAATAGACGACAAAAGTTCACAATATTTATATAATATTCGCAAACTGCCGTTTATTTGGATGCTTTTTTCTACGCTACGGCCCTTGATGCAAGCAATCCTGATACGGATAAGCGGTCAAAAGAACATGATGTAGCCTAACAAGACAGAAATACAAGGACCAGGTGTCAGGCGTGTAAACCTGTAACATTTCAGTTATTTCATCAATATATTGTGTTTTTAACGGGTAAATGTTGGGGCCAGAGTAATAGACTCTTTCAAGTTGAAGATGCCATAATGAAACACAATAGTGCAAGGGGTGCAAACAAAATGGAATTTCCTGGTGAGAATAATATATTGAATATGGCGTCCTCAAGTAAAATTGTATAGTGTTACGCAGAGTAAAGTAATAAAGTGGGGGGGGGGGTTAACTTTGAAAGTATCCAGCGTGTCAGGCTCTATCCTTGAAATAAAGCTGCCCTGCGAGCTAAGTCGGAATCTCTCTCGCTTCTCCGTGCCATGCCGAGAAGAAATATGAGACGACTTTGCTCACAGGGTAAAATAAAGCCTGCTACGGAGACAATAAATGCATATGATTCGTAGTACACACAAAATTCCCATTGGTCAGAATTAGTAGCTTTTCTTTTTAAGGTAATATCAAATTGTTGTTTACGTAATGATATTCCATACTTGCTGTTAATTAACACAGTCTTTAACCATTATTATTTGGTATGTAATTCCTGGCTGTTTAATTAATGAAAAATTATTGGAATATTTCTTTTTAAGATATTGGTGGAAGAGTTGTCTGTTATTGTCATATTTTAAAATTAGCTTTGATAATCTAATGTATCAGTTAATTCCAGCAGTTCCCATCCCCTCACCCCCGGGCCTTTGCAGCTTTTCCTAATCCAAGGGGCGGAGCTATTGCCGATATTTTTAGCCTAGCTGGGGGTGAGGATTTTGACGTTTTCCATCATGGGGGATTTGGCATATTTCTCTGGAAAAGACATTGAATTTGTTTGCAAATGGCTTGGGGGCAGCCATTTTCTTCCCTGACATGCAAGCTACCTTGAAAGGACATTTTGGCAATTTCTGTTGTGGTTACCCAGCCTGAGGCGAACGCAATAAATTGTTATAAATGTTTTGTGAAGTGCACAGATTTTTCCTGGAGTTTGGGACAAGTCTTTATTTATGGAAGAGGGAGGGGGGGGGGCAAAGGTGGGGCCATGAGTATAAATAAATGATAAAGTAGTAGTTATAATATGTAGTAGGCTAACTTCCTAACTATAGGTAGTAGTTTAATAGTTTTTAATTAATTCTTAAGGTGTAACAAGACTCACATTGATAACAGCACTTTTGTGCTGAAATGTATATATCCAGCCTGTGTAAATATTGTAAATATTCGTTATAATAATAAATAATAATAATAAGAATAATAATAATAGGGGGGGGGGGGGTATTACATTTTTTGAGAAAATTGAAGGGTCAAAATGTTGAGTTGCAATAAATTTGAATAAAATTGCTGAATCCTGGTTTCCAATGTTCTCGAAGTTGGCTTAAGCCAGATAAATCCAATGAAATCACCGTACCCAGGGTTTCTGTACTTATTGCT